TTTGTGGTCGTTTCTAGCCGTTGGGGATAATTTTTTTTGCAAAATAAAATTGTTCAGGACAAGGAGTATCGATACTCCTTTAATGAGTATCGGTAATACCTTTTTAATTTTTAAATAAACTAGTCGTTACTAACCGTTGGGCCTGACCATTATCGATACTATGATCATGATATCAATACTATTGTGTAAAGTAGTATCGATACCCCTTTGGGTATCGGTACTTATTTTGCATTCTGGAATTTGAGCAATATGGAAAAACAACTGGTAGTATTGATACTACCTTGAGAGTATTGATACTGTAAGAACAGTATCAGTACTACATACCCAAAAAAATGTTTTGTGCTCAAATCTTAGTTTAATGAACTTTGCATTATTTTTGAAAACTTTGAACAAATTCAATGAAGTCCATAAACATTTTTCCTTTAATTTGTTATATCAAAATATTATAAAAACATGATTCAACAATCTCCACCTTTTTGATATAACAAAACATTGAAAAATTATTTTTGGTAAAACTCCCCCTTAATAAAACATATAATGGAAAAGAGAACTATTTTGAAAATATTAAAGCTCCCCCTCTTTCATTCTTGAAATTTAATTTTTCAAACCCATACTTCTCCCCCCTTTTTGTTATATAAAAAATAATTCAACTTTAAGGTTCAAATATAACAATAAAGAGTAAGTGATAAATTTTAGCATAAAAATCATTTGAAAAATCAAAACTCCCCTCAATAAAAGCATTCCAAACAAAAATTTGACTTTAAAAGCTTGACACTTAAAAGATTGAATTTCAACAAAGATGAACAAACATGTTAGTAGCACAAGAAATTCAATATATCAAGTATAATATACTTTATGCAATACTAATTGTTGAATTTAAGTGCATGTGCATAAAGATATCCAAAAATATTATGCATTTGAAAAATTAATATCAATTGTTAGAGAGCTATCATTTGCAATAAATCACATGCATAAACATTTAAATTTTAGGTAAAAACAAAAAAGTTTGTAAAAACAAAACATTAAAACCAATTTTGACAAAAATTATGAAAAATCATTAAAACTTTAAAATGTCCATCATAATACACTTTTCAACATGAGATGAAAAACGTAAATTATTTAAAGTCAAAACTCATGTATGCATACAACAAATAGGCAACCAAATATCCAAAATTAATAGCATTAAGCTTAGAGATTACCCATTCCTTTTCAAGTGTGACTAGAGCATTTGAATATCTTCACTTTCATCACCATTGTTCCCACACCTACAAGAGACATTTAAGTGGGTTTTTGTATCCAAATTACTTGGGATCCTTGAATGTTAGTCTCAATGCCCCTTGTTTCTTTAGGAATACATACTTGTTTAATTTAAAATGTTTTCCTTTCTTTAAAGGACAAGTATGTTCCTTGTGACCATGATAATGTGAGCATTTTGTCATTATGGAACTAGATAAATTATTTAAAATGATTTCTTTTTCTTTTATTAATCATTCAAGCTTAACCTTTAAATCAAAACATTTTTTTTCAAAATTTTCAATTTTCATTTTGAAAGCTCTAAATCATTTTTCAAAATTTCATTTTTTTTCAAAATCAACTTTTGCTTTGAAAAGAAAATCGTTTTCAACTTTAAATTTTGAAATCATTTTCTTATATTTGGAGTTCATGGTCTTAAACTCCAAAATTAATTCATCGTATGCATCTTGTAACTCTTTAAAAGAATATGAATTAGATTCACTAGAGTTAGACGATACCTTGGGCTCTTCAATAGTCATTACTCACATCGCCTTTGTTGGTTCTTTTTTCTTGTTTCTATGAAATTCTTTGAGCTTGTTCCAAAGGTCATTGACATTTGAATAAGAAGAAACTCCTTCATAGATTTCGGGACTAAATGCACAAAACAACATGTGCATTTTGTTGATTTTTCTTTCGTTTTTGGGCACTCCACTCCTTCGTCTTCTTATTTGGAGAAGAGTATCTGTTCTCGATCATCTCCCATGCATCAAGATCATTGGATTGTATGAATAACTTCATTAATTTCTTCCAATCACAGTAGTTTACTCCAATTAAGTATGGAGGTTTGTCGGTTGGTTGGGAGTCTTCCATGTGGAATGAGTCAGAGGTGGAAGCCATCTTCTCGGTTGCTTCAAAAAAATGGATAGAGCTTCTTCAAGGAACGTCTTAAGGTTGTTAGACCTTCCAATGAGTCAAGCTCTTATACCAATTGTCGGGATTTTCGATGAAGCTCAATGATCAACCGAATAACTTGCCAAGAGGGGTTGAATTAGTTTTTGAGATTAGGGAGTAAGGAGATAAAAAATATACAATTGGCACAATGATTTATAGTGGTTCGACTTCTCAACCAAGTCTACATCAACTACCTTAGCTCCTCACTAAGGATTTTCTAACAAATTCACTAATTTCTTCTTTCTTTTTACAGGATAAAGAGATAACATTTACAAACTCCCTAGCTTTTAAAAGGCTTAGCTAGAACCACTCCCCTTTTCACAATGGATAAGAAATGTAAACAAGAAAACCCTTACAAGATAGGTGTTTACAAAATTAAGCTCACAAGAACAAAAATATTTACAAGATAAAGGAAAATAAAAATGAAAAGTTCTTATCTTGTATTTGATTGTTTGGATAGGTGTTCTCACCCTTTTTCAAGTGTCCTCAACTTTCTTTATATGTTGGAATGTGTTTGTGGCCGTTTTTAGCCGTTAGGGATGACTGGGAGTTGTTGGAGATAATTTTTTGCAAAATAAAACTGCTCAGGACATGGAGTATCAGTACTTCTTTAATGAGTATCGGTAATACCTTTATAATTTCTAAATAAACTAGCTGTTGGGCCTGACCAGTATCGTTACTATGATCATGGTATCGATACTACTGTGTAAAGTAGTATCAGTACCCCTTTGGATATCGGTACCTATTTTGCATTCTGAAATTCGAGCAATTTGGAAAAACAACTGGTAGTATAGATACTAACTTGAGAGTATCGATACTTCTCTTACTTTTGGTATCGGTATTGTTCATGCAGCATCGATACTGTAAGATAGTATCGGTACTACATACCCAGAAAAACGTTTTGTGCTCAAATCCTAGTTTAATGGACTTTGAATTATTTTTGAAAACTTTAAACAAATTTAATCAAGTCCAAAAACATTTTGCCTTTAATTTTTTATATCAAAATATTATAAAATATGGTTCAACATATTCTTTTTATCTTTGGGCCTAAGCTTGGTTTTACTCTTTTTTTTTAAAAAAAAAGTCATTATTTAGTCTGATTTGTGGACACCTCTATTTCAAGATTTGACTTTGATTTATTTTGGTCCTAAATTTCATAACATTCTAAATCATATGAGTATTAAAAAATATGTTAATCAAGTCCTCTCATTAGTCGAACATTTGTTTAGTTACATACAAGTACGTTTTAAATTTATGAGGACTATTTTTGTTTACCAGTCAGATCCAAATTATCTATATAATAAGAATAAACATGTTTAAAATTTAATTTATATTTTTTAAAATGTTTAATGTCATATCTTAATTAACATTTAATGTCAAAATGCTAGCTATTGATAAAATAATGTAGAGAATGAGAGGTCCCTATCCCCCATTTTTTATCTAATGAAAATTTTGGTTCCTAATAACTTGAATACATGTTAAATCATATCTCACCTCTAATCCTAATTTTGGTTCCTAATAGCTATTGATAAAAAGTTGGGATTAAATAATTACTAAAGTCATTGTTAATTTTGAAGTCATCTCTCACCTCTAATCCTAACTTCAACCCTATTAACAACTATGATAACGAAAAAACAATGAATATAATATTAATTCTTTGAGAACTTAATTAATATCTGTTAATGTTAAATTTAGTTTTAGGAAATCCATACGTATGGGTGTTGTAGGTGTAGGGCTTAAAAGCACCATTGACAATGTTCTGGATTGGGTCGTCAGTAGTCATCTTCCAACAAAGACTTGAGTTTTCGATGAATCTAACAAAGAAAAGGTTTGGGAATTGGTTGTCTGTCTTAAAAACACAAGACAATAATTCTTGTGTAAGCTATTATATCGTATTGAAATTCAATTCAGTCCCAACTGTTTAGCATGCGAATCCACAACTACTTAGTTTGAATAATGTATAGATTATAGAATCTATGCCTCCTTCCCCCAATCTATAGTTATCAAGTCAGTGTGTGTTTTAAACAACAACCTTCACTTCAACTTCAACGTTTCTTCCTATAAATTGCAAATATAGTCTCTTATGGTAGATTTGGGTTGGAGTGGACAAAGTTATTCAACACTGTTTTTCCGCCCACAAGCATCCAACCTATAACTTTAAGGATCCATACGCTTAGATGATATTGGCCTTGGATACAAGTTCCAAGATAAGCTATGTGATATAAATTATTAAAATAAATATATAAAATAAGTTAAGTGGAGTTCGAGTCTTGAATCTTGGAGTTACGGGTTCAATTTCCGTAGAGTCTAATATTTTTGTTCAAACTTTCTGGAATTTCAGACGAGCTCTAACCCTTGAACAAGTTTGTTTTAAACCTCAAAGAATGTGCTGAAGCATAAGTTTTGTGCCCCCAAATTATTAGAGTGAACCTTGAAGTTATTTGAAGAGTTCACCTTTGATGTGAGCAAGGCTGGCTTATAATGGAGGGAATAGATTGATTATACAAGTTCAACATACATGAAGAAAGATGGCTAGCAATTACACGTCAATTAAGCCGTAAATTGAACTCGTCCCTGCAAATATTTCAATCAAAGCATCCTTCTAAATATCAGTTAGTAAATTCAGCTAACAGTTTGGTTTTTCTCTCAATCTCAGCCTATCAGATCTCAGTTTGTGAAAACAAAACAACTATCCATTACCGATGTTGCTGTTAATATCCTGCGGTTTCAACTCTCTTTTGTCAATAATATTTGTTATGTCTGTAATCTGAAGAATTTTGTGTTGGAATCAGGCCAAAAAGAAACTTCAAACCTAGTTCATGGATTTCAATTATAAGAAATAAGCGAGTAATAAAACAGTGGCATCAAAGGAAACCCATAAGGGCCCTTTGAATCGTACATGTAAATTACAAAAGCGGATTTCATGATGGATGAACCTTGTTAGTGGAAAGTCCCTTGAAAGCAGATTTCATAGCAGCTTCAATATAAAAATTTGAGGCAATAGTTGCACCTTTCTCCATCAAATTCCCCATTCTTCTAGCTTCCTCAGCTGCATCTTCGAGATCATCGACTTCGTCCCTCGACTCGCGTTCCATTTCCTCTTCGAACCGCCTGAACTCGTCCATCGCGGTCTCCATGACCGAGTCGAGATAGTCTTCGGCTTCCTGCATGGTTATTTCGGCTTGCTCTTCGTGTTCCAGCTCCGTGGCTGGCCATGCCTTGTAAGACTCGATCTCGAAGAGCTTCATTAGGTCTTCCATGGCCGATGGATCGAAGTTCTTGTCTCGTAAAGCTTGATCCGACAGGAAGGTGAATTGGGAGAGGAGGGCTTCCATGGCTTTTTGATGCAGAAACAAAGGTATGAATTCAAGCACAGATCTACTTGATGAACAGTGTCATGTTTCAATGAAGAAAAACAAGTTGCGATTGTGATTTCTATATAATTCTCTAATCATATCTCATTCTATTACTAGACTTTATATATATATATATGGGTAAAGTGTAAACCAGTGGACCGCTTGAACTCATTATCTTTTTCATTTAATTACGAGAAAGCTAATTGGTGCTTAATGTGTAATGACATTGCTAAAGTAGTAATAATAACAACAACAATAATTTGATAAAGTATACCGTATTTTAATGAACTATGTTTAAATGATTAATTTTGGTCACTAAAATTTTAAAAATTATAATATAATTATTAAATTTATCAAATTGTTAATTGATTTTTTTATTAATTTGAAAAATACAAGATAATATTAATTTAAGAATTTTAACAATTTTTTGATAATGAACATTCATTTCCCTACACATACTCAAACTCGATTGAACTTTAATCTGAATTGACTTGATTGAACTTTAATCTAATTTGATGTTGAAATATTTTTATCCAATTTGATGGTTCGAGGAAAGTAGAGAAGTGGATGGCATTGGTTCCTTATCTCAATCAAAGGATGTGAATCTCTAACATAGTGAAAGGTAGGGCCAAGGCCATGACCATTTGACATCGAAACTGAAAAATAGGGGTTTTCAATGTTGCCAATAATGTAAATTTAGGTCATGATTTGAGGGGTCTGACCGATAACGAGCACACACAAATTGGAATTTATATTTATATCAAAACAAAACAATGTGATGTGGACCTTCCTTTGATGACCGTTGAAAACAGACCCATTACCCTTTTCAATTTTACATAAACACAATCATGCCCTCATCTGGTTATTACCCTCGAATTCCCAATTTTATTTTAACACTAACTTTTATATAAATAAATAAAATGTTATTTAATCTTTGAATTTATTATTAGTTTGATTAAATCTTCGATTTTTATTTATTTAATCCTTGAATTTTTTAATAAGTTCGTCACACATCACTTTAATATAGCATAATCTCTAAAGATCACATCATTAAAATAACTAAATTCCAAATTCTTATTAAATTTAAAATAATAAAAAGTTCAATGATTAAATTAAATATAGGGGCATGAGTCGATTACATTAGCTTAAAGCTTTTAGTTTTACACATTTTTATGATTATTGGGTGAGAGAAATCAAATGTTGATATTAACAATAAGAAATGAGAATATTCACTAAAAAACAAAGAGTTAATCTCTTGATTTCCCTCATCCAACCAATGATCCTAAAAAGATGTAGAATTAAAAAGGTTTACACTAGGGGTAAGTGGATCTTTACCTTAAAAATATATATTAAATTTAAAGATTAAATATTGATTTACCTCTAATTAAACTGGCAGAGTGACCATCCTAGGCCTATTATTGGCCCAAATCTGATATGGAATTTTTGTACCTCCACGGGAGCCACCATGGGGAGTATTCAGCTGCAGTCTAATGATCTTTGAACTCTGGGTTTAATGCTAAGCAAGCTATTAAGCTCAGTGGTAAGACTTCTTTCAAGTTTAGCTTCTTATATTCTTTGTATGGGAAGTCGGCATACCTCATCGGTTTCAAGAACCATCTCCCATATTGATTCAAGTATAAAAAATATGCTGTTTCATTTTGAACAACTATAATGTAGGGTAAATGCTAAATGTAAAGACTAGAGTTTTATAATAATGAAAGATAGATAAAAATAAGAGTATATACTTGTATGAATATGACATGTTGATTAGATTCTTCCAATGGATGGAATTCTTAAATGGGAGGAACAAGTTACAAGTTAATGAACCTAGAATGGTTTGAAGTACAATCTGGTCTGATCACGGCGGCCTTAGCTCATATTTCCAGGCAGGTCCAAACCAGGACATTGCTGCTCCACCAAGAAAGCAGAAGACAGCACAGAACCAGCCTAGACAAACGAATAATCAATTATCAACCTACGGTTTCCATAAATCCCATGGAAACGAAACAAATATGAATCCAAGTTCTTCACCAATCTTATCCACTCAGTCTTACCTTAGCTCCCCAAAGCAACAGCTTCCCTAGCGTTATCAGTTGTGTGCATCAAAAAATTCTGCAGACCACCATATGTTAACTTCTGATTTTTAATAGACTTGTGCATGGGAAAACTTTCTAGGCATTAACGTGGGAGTAACTGAGGATACATTGTGGGAGGACCGGAGGAGGAACCCTATGGTGGAGCTGGTGGCAGACACAAGCTGCTGCGGTGATAACATGGGTATCTGAGTTGGACAATGGCGATGACCTACCGGGTCAAGTTCTACCGGAAGTGTGGCCATAACCTCTTCTTTTTTTTTTAACCAGTGTTTTGTTTTCATTGATTTTTGTTTCTTTTTTTTAAATTTAACCAGGAATGTAAGATTGGAGACTTTATGAATATTTACATGAATATAACAAGTATACATATATTAAAACACCCATTTCTATATCGAAACTATGACTACTTGACTAGACACTGAATCCTAGGGCTGAACACTAAGCTCAAAGCATGTAGTAATATTGTCTTCGTGTGTTAAGTAACTGCAGATACATAAGAAACCATGTAACTTGTGAGAAAAATTGCTAGCAGCAGCAACAAAATCTTGAAACAACTTAATTTCCAAGAAAACTTATGTTCTTCCTTGCTGAGATGAATTGGGACATCTTGCGGAACAAAAATGTAAAAGAAAAAGAGCAGTAACATACCTGGTAAAGCTCCAATAACTTGTCATTAATTTTCCCATATATTTTTTGTCTTGAAAGTTAGTAAAATATAGAGTCAAACATATATATACACATATATACACCCGCCTTCGAAAGTGTTGCAAATATTACCATTTACCATTGTTAACAGGCTGGTGATTTTAGAGTTGACAGAAGCTATAGAATGAGCCAAGATGGCCACCAGGAGCTAGCTGTGGGGGAAATCATAGCAGCCGGGTTACAGAATTGCTAGATATATATGCTAGAAATATACATATATACATACATATATAGATGTAAACCACAAGCAGGGAGAAGATTAAGGTCTGACAATAGATCCTACCCTCTCGAGAGAGATCGCTTGCATTGGTTGTGCTACCGAGAAAATATAGATATCGGTGCGTCCAGTGAGAGAATGTACGAAGAGGCCCCGAAGAAAGGAACCGAGTTCGCAACCGGGTAAGCCCATTCGCAAGATCGTCCACAACGAAACCGATGTCCCGAAAAACATTTCACCGGTTTGATCATCGTTGGCGGTGGCAGTGTCGTTATCATCACTAATCTCGTAGCGACAAACGGGACAGGTGTTGTGAATGGTCAACCAAGGTACGATACAATTAGAGTGATACAAATGCTTGCACGGTAACTCTTTTGCTTCGCCGTCGACCTCGAACTCATCCTTGCAAACGGGGCAATGAGTGACATTGATCAGATGGTTTTCTGTGATTTTCACCACCGGCAACGCTTCGATGGCCGAAGCAGCCGCAGGTGGCGGCCCTGGCCTGTCGTTCTCAGTTAAGCCTTCGATGAAACCATCTATGTCGTTGCCTGTAACCTGGGGTGCAACGATAGGACTCGGCTGCTGGCGAGGTCGTCTAATCTCGGGCCCTGATTGATCCCCACGAGTTCTTCTATTAGTGCTTTGACGCCTGGTGGAAGGGTCGAGAGCCGCGGCCAGCGTATCGAATAACCTGGTAGTCGTCTCATATGATTGGAGGCCATGATCAGGTCGAAGCCTAGGCCTTGAGACATCCAGCTCGTGACTCAGTTGATGAAAACAATATGGACAATAAGTTTGGAAAAGGTTTGAATTGGTGAACCTTATGGTCCGTTGGCAATGGAGACACCAGAAATAATGGTACGTTCTCATCCTACGGACTCCATTAACTATAACACCAGGACGACGATGGGTGCTTAGAGACATGGTTCTGCTGGGTATGAAAATGGGGATTAATTGTGTTCAGATTATGGAAGAAGAATTCACAGCTCATTATATACGTGAGAAATAGAGGAGAGAGAATATCTTGTAGACATGCAGCAAGGGATTCCTTTCTCTCTTTTAGCATGTTGTGTGTTTTCCTGGACATTTTCCCCACTTCTTGATTGCAGTAAAAGCAAAGGATGAATTGACGATTGTTAACTCGTTGTATAGGTTTTGTTTATCGAGAGGAATTAATGGTTTTTAATTTTCCTTTTTTTAAAAGATTATCTTCTGTTTGAAGTATGCTCCGAGTTGTAATGAATTGGAAAATATATTTATTATATAAGTTAACATAAAGAAAAGGGTGTCAATTCGTTCTTAAAACAAATTGGTGGCCGAAAAGTACTCTCACTCTCTGTTGGTATGGCCCATGAGCCCAAACTCAAAGAGCCTGTTGATTCCCCTCGCTCCGAGTCAACTCACTTATTTTTTCTCGCCAATCGGATTGGATTGGGTTGGGTTGGGTCAGCCTAACCATCCATCAAAAACCACCCCAAATCCCTTCTGCATCTTTCTCTTTTTGTTTCGCTCTCACTTCGTGAGAGCAATCCAAACACGCGAAAATGTCTCATTTAGTGTTCCAAGCATCTCCACTTCCCAAAACGTTGTTATTAAAACCCAGACTGCAGCCCTCTGCTCGTCCTTCAGTTTGTAGGCTCAAGAACAATCTAACTGTGAGATGTTCGTCATATTCTTTAATCGACGATGTGGATTCCTCCGTCGCTGCTCTCGAGCGTTGTTTCTCGGCACCTCCGGCTCCAGTGGAGCTCGGTTCTTCGGGTTCGAGTGAGGTGGGACCGGTTATGAAAGGCGGAAAATACGGTGCGTTTGGTGCGGTTACTTTGGAGAAAGGGAAGCTTGATTTGACTCAGAAACAGACCACGTCTACCCCCGAGGTTCGTTTTCAGTGTTTTAGCTTTTGCCTTATGAGTTAATTAAGCTTAATTAGAGCAAGCACTTGCTTAGTATTTTGATATCAAAACTTTGCAAATATTTAAAGGCTAGTTTTTATAAAATATGTGGAGAAAAGAGTTGTCTTGAATTTAATTAACGATTTTATATACTTTGGTAAAAAG